CGGCAGCCGTAATGCTCTGACAATCCATCAAGCAGTGAGCTTACCAAAGTTGTACTGAAACATTTTTTAACAGATTTCTGCAGCCAAAATTGGTTTGGGGTCAGTAAGCACAACCAGAATTCATACATAAGGCACAGTCTTGATTTTTGAGAAAATTAAAGGATTTTAAGTGTGGAAAATACATTATACAGAAGAAAAGAATATATCGTGATATATATCGTTACCGCACATGCTTGAAATTATATCGTGATATGAATTTTAGGCCATATCGCCCAGCCCTACTACTACTTCATCATTTCAACTGCTGTCAAAAGTATTAACAAACAAAGTAGTTACGATGTTCTCTCATTGTTATCATCATGACTCCTGGCGACCCACAGACCCACACGCAGCAGGTTTTTCAACTCTCATGCAAACACCAGATGAGCTATGTCAGACCTGACTTTCCCTCTGGGATCAACAAAGTTCTTCTAACTCTCAGACACTGCTGGTTTTAGGGATAAAACATCATTTAAAAAAGTATCAGTTGTGCATTATGTCAAATTACCATAAAATGATCTTCAATAACATTTATGGGCTTGCAGCTGAAGTATTTACCAGTAAACATGACAAAGAACTACAGATACTACAGCTCAGTACTACACAATACAATACTACATAAAGCATTTCCTTTACTTTAGTGAAGACAATAGACAAGCTTAACTTACATGTCTGGAGAAGTAATAGAAGCTAACCATCATAATGAAGATCATAACTGTCATTGCGAATTTAGATGGGACCAGGAATGACCTGCCGAAAACACAACAGGGAAACAACAGTCTGAACATTTCTTCTGTGTATTTTCCACAAGAACATGTTGTTCCAAGACCTGCAGACACACTGGAGCTGCAGACAAACGTTCCTATGTTACCCTAGCACCAGTACAAGGAAGGTAACATCCACGCTCACTGCTGGAGCCCTGCTGTCACAGGGACGGGGGCTTGGTAACAGGCACATGTCAGAATAAGAGCCTGAACCCACCAATGGCAGAGCACGCTGCTTATACTGGAACAGCTGACATTTATATACATGCTGCAAATTTCTCAAACACCAGTTGGAGACAAAGTGGAATTATCTTCTTCATGAAACACACTGACATGAAACTGAGACTTGAATACACACGCACACGCACAGATCATACTGGGTGTTTTCACCTGTAGTCGTGGAAACGGGCCGTGTCATAGCGGTCAAAGATGTCCTTCCAGCTGTAGATGTTAACGACGCCCGTGGCCACTGTGATGAGCAGCATCAGGGTAAGCTTAACCATGTGACTGACCTGAACCAGCATCGTGGTGGCCATCAGAGCCAGCACAGCAACGTAGCTGTAATATTTGGGATTGTTCAGGCAACCTTCAAGGCTGGACACGGCGGACAGCGAGGAGGCGGGGGCCACCGTGGTGGTGTCGGAGTCTGGGACCTGAGGCAGACAACTCAGCTACACAGCAGACAGGCACAAAGCCATCAGCTTCACCAACATCTGTCCCCCCACAATAAGCTCCAGAGTTTTTATGTTTTATTGGCTCGAGTTTTAACATAATTCACCTGCTTACTGAAAAAAAGGTGCATTTAGCCTACATGTTACAAACAAATGAGGAGCTCACCATGTCCATTATGTCAGCCATGGTGAGGATGAAAATGGCAGTCATGGCCCAGGTGTTGCGAGCCCAGCGTGTGTGGTCAATCCAGGTGGAGAAAGACACCAGCTTCTTGGCAAAGACCTGACATGAAATCCATCCATTTAGTAACGAAAGGTTTTATTCATGAACAGTCAGATTGTCACTGTGGCTGAGAAAACAACATCATTTGTGATTATTGTTTCTTTTGCTCACAGATGGTGTGAAAGGTTAAAACTTCTTACGTGTCAAACATTTAGGCTTTACATGGCTGAGGTACACAGACCTGCAGTCTGCACAACTCTGATCGGAGATAACGCTACAGTGTTAAAATTCACATTGCTACACAGTAACAACATAGTGTACATTGAATACTACATGAAAGTGTACTCGGGGACGTCACTGAATTGACTATCTGACAAAAGCAACAACAACAGTAACAACTGCATGGATGGGACTTACAGACGCTTTTAGGTGTCTCTTTCACAACAGCAGAGCTGTGAGGCTGCGCATCATTAATCCTCTCACGTGTGTTTATCGTTCTTGAGTAAAGATGACCACAGATTTAGCCTCTTTAAACGGACACTGCAGGCCGAGGACGTTGTTATATTGGATGCAGCACTGATAAGTCCTGCAGAGCTACATGCAGTGTTTACAGTGACCTTGCAGTTCTCGGTCCATGTAATTAGTGTGCGCTGCAGCCCTGAGCTGAGCGGAGGCGTGACATCAGCTGTCAATATTCACCCGCCTGCAAAATATCAATACATCTAAATTTCCATGAAGAGGGAGGATTAAAAGTACTCTATGCTGAACACACGGCTTTTTTCCATGACTTCAGAAGATCACATATTTATTCAGTACATGGCAGACTTAACCTTTAACCCCGGTCTTAACTATTAAACTTACTTACTTGAATTATATGTCAAAATTGAATTAAGACAGTTTTGTAAACATTTTTCCTTTTTCTGTTGTTAGTTGCATATTAACTGATTGTTAATTAGATTTTTGATATCAATAAACAAACATAATCTTTGTAACGTAACATCACTGCACCCACTATCATCTCAATTTAAAAAGCAAAAAAAAGGAATAATTTTCAAGCTTGGTCTTATTTTAGTCCTTTCATATCTATTGTTTCAGCTCCTCTGAACTCTCAATATAATCTCTCTCTGCCCATTTCTCTATTTGTGACTCTACAGGAGACGCATGTAAGTGATACGATCACAGAGGTGTTTGAGAGTAGCAGTGATACTGATTCGTCAAATGAACGATACGGGAGGAAAACAGTTTTAAATCTGTGTAATGTGTCTCTCCTCAACTTATTTGTGTAGTAGGTGTTTTTGTCTGTGAAAAACTGTGTGAGGGGAGGGTACAGTAAAGACTCAACAGATGATACACTGTCTATGTGGGAAAAGCCCAAAACCTCCAAAACAAACTTTTAGAATTGTAGGTCTGAGTTTAAAACATTTGAAGAGCCGATACATGATTTGCACATTTAGTGCGCTATGGAAACTTGTTTCTGTCTCATTTCAACGGCCAATTAGAATCACCAATTAGCTTATCATCCAATATCTTTGGACGATGGGAAACTTGAATTTTAACTCACGTGATCATCTTTTCCTAAACCTAACAAAGCACTTTTAGGACCTAAACTTAACCAGAGCGAGCTAAACGAAACGATACAGTAGTTACAACTTTATGGAACCTGGACAAATAACTGATACATTGTCATACCGTGTTATTAATTAAGAATCAGTAGTAACATTTTGTTAACATGATTTCCAACATTAGCATAGCCCCAAAACTGTGACAATATGTGGACGACTCTATGTGAGAGAAAATGCCACTGGTGGTTTCCAGAGGAGAAGGTAACGACCCATAAATCGCTGAGAGGTTACATATATCCAAACGATCCCAACACCAGCGTGTATTTAATCGATTCTGTATCTGAACAAGGTTGTAAAAGAAAAGAAAATGCTCCTGATCACATTGTAAATGAAGTCTAAGATTGTGTTATAACTCACTCTGGGGAAGATGGCAGCCAGAGAACAAATGGTCAGGATGAGCAGTAAGACCTCCCCCACTGCAAAGGTGATGTAGTTTGCAATCAGCCTGTTCCAGAACAAATGAACGTAGTGGAGAGTATTTAGTGAGTTATTATTATTACAGTTATTACTTCCAGTTTACACTGCCAAAGTGTGTAGGCTTATTTTTGCTTTCATTTTCTTTTGTTCTTAGGAGAGTAGGTGATATAAACCATCCTGCCCAGAATTAGTAAAACAGACCTGTGAACTCACCAGGGGTCTATGAGCGCCTCCATCACTGCAGTGAAGAGCAGAACCACGCAGGAGCAGCAGAAGGCAGCGCCGCTCTGTTTCTCCTTCTCCACAGAGAAACGTGTTTCCAGCTCTGGATCCACGAACCTGAGGGACAGCTTGTTGGTGTGTTTCCCCTTCAGACTGGGGAACAACAAGCGTAGTGACAGTGAATGCAGCACACTGGTTGTTCCTTTTTTACCCTTTTTTTGGAGTTGAGGGGTTTGAGTTGATTGTTTTTTCTTGGGCGGGGGGGGTGGGGTTGGGGTTTCCTTGTTTGTTCCGGCCGGCTTTTGTTTGCTTTGTTGGGTTCCTTGGTTTGTTTTCAGAGAACCGGGGTCACGCCAGTAACCAAACAATACCAATGACAACATGGACTGATTAAGTCTTATTTATGGTATTTTAACACAGGTACGTTTGTTTAGAGTAAGAGTTGGAGTTTGCCAACAAACACTATAACATATTATAGCATGAGCAAGGAAAGGAAATCTCTGCTGCTACTTGAACTTCAATCAGAGATATACTGCTCAAAAAAATTAAACTGCCACTTCAAAAACACATAATGGAATTTAACTGAAACTCAACTGATGGTTCCTTTCAAAGCTCACCTGGTATCTCACAGTGGGAAACACTCTGATGTGACCAATCATGGAAGCTCCACTACAACATCTGTCCAAACCAGACAACAGCTTCAAGGACGTGGTGTTCCTCAACCCCCTTATAACAGCCAATGACCCCACACCAGGCTTGTTTTCTTTCCTGTGAAGATCATAAGAGCTTACTTAACTTTGTACTGATGCAGCCGTTAATGTAGTCCAGGATGATGGGTTTTCCTGGTTTTCACGAATATCTTTTACACTATAGTACACTTTTATGCCAAGGAAATTTATTCTTCCAAGAGCTGTTGTTGAGTTGTTGCAATACTGCTACCTGCGTGTTATAAAACTAGCTTGTTTCATATTTGTGGCTATTGCTAGATGTCAAAGCTAAGCTTTAGTAATTAATCAGAATCACAATAACTTAAGTGGCACAATGGTCAGCACTGTTGCCTCACAGCAAGAAGGTCCTGAGTTCAGTTCCACCATCAGGTTGCGGTCTTTCTGTGTGGAGTTTGCATGTTCTCGTCATGTTTGCGTGGGTTCTCCCACAGACATGCAGTTAGTGGGCTTGGGTTTTATTGGTAACTCTAATTTGCCCATGTGAGTATGAATGGTTGTCTCTGTGTGTTGGCCCTGTGACAGACTGGCAACCTGTCCAGGGTGCACCCCGCCTCTCGCTCTAAGACAGCTGGGATAGGCTATGGCAGATGTCACTCTGGCTCCACAGTGCCAGGCAGCGACTAGTGGAGCAACGGATCAAAAGTCTCACGGTTTGGATCGGATCACGGTTTTAAGTCACGGATCGGATCAATTTTCGGATCAGCAAAAACAGAAAAAAGGACAAAAGTTTAACATTGACTTATTTAAGTATTTTTTGCCTGTTAAAAACATTCAACTCAAGATTCACTCCACACAGTTATATAAAAACTAATTAATGAGCTGTCATTTGTAGCTGGGCAACAGAAGATGTCTGGATCAGTTCAGCCGTAAATTTAAACTTTTCCTGCTCATACATGCTTGGAACGATCTTGAAGTGGATGCGCAACGAGATATCATAGCGTGGCTCAAGCACGTTCATCATAGTTTAAACTCCTTGTTTTGCACAACAGAATACGTCTGCAGATAAACACCCCAGCAGCTTCTGTAATAGATTTAGCCCGGTCGGGTTGGGCAGCAAAGGGCTGCTCAAACTCCTCTGCTCCTCCACTTGGACCGCTAGCGCTGGCCATAAGTATCGCTTGACAGACCCACCACGCCACCATACA